CAATTAGGGTGATCCGCACTACCATACAACACTTTCATTGGACCTTGCAACATGGAGGGAAGGGGGGGACTGACCCTGAGTCGTGGTGGCTGAGTGGTGAACGAGATGTCGCACGTTGCAACTCGAGTACCTGAGGTCGACGCCAAGGTTAGGTCGTTAAAGGCGGGCCATGATTGGTCAAGAGACGATGGCTGAGGGGGGTGGGGGGTGTTGACCTCTTTTAAGTGACTTAGTAATGGTTGTTTAAGCCAAGGTGACCTGAGCCTTGTTTGGTATTGTGGGTGGTTGGTAGTGAGCAAAAAGTACCAATTATTCTTGGTCTTGAACTGAATAAACTAGTGGGTAAAAAAAGTCCCCTACCTGACATAATAATTTGGGTCTTGAGTGGCAGAAAGTCTCACTCAACCCTTGGAGATGACATGAATATTAGCAGTTTATTGTATATTACCGGACTGGTGTGTGTGGTGATTGTATCCTAATAAAGTTAAAAAGTAATTATCTCATTCTAGTAACAGTAAATAGAAGAATATACGGCATTACACACACACACACACACACAGGCGGGTCTCAGGCATGTCACGAGTCACGGCTCCCGTATGACAGACAGACAGACAGATAGATAAACACACAGACAGACAGATAGATAGACACACAGACAGACAGACAGAGACACATAAGAACATAAGAAAATAAGGAGTCTGCAATAGGCCGGTTGGTCTGTGCATGGCAGCTCCTGTCGAGAGTTACTACCACTCTCTATCATCCATGAATCTATCTAGCCTCCTTTTAAAACTTTCCAGCGTTCCAGCACTTACTACAAAGTTGCTAAGCTTGTTCCACTCGTCCACCATCCTATTTGTGAACCAGTTTCTTCCTATCTCCCTCCTAAACCTAAACTTATCCAACTTAAATCCGTTGCTCCGAGTCCTATCCTGCTCGGATATTATAAGAACTTTATCTATATCCCCTTTGATTCCTTTCACCCACTTAAATACTTCTATCATATCTCCCCGCACTCTTCGTCTTTCTAGGGAATGCAAGTTAAGTTTCTTTAACCTATCCTGATATGGAAGGTTTCTAAGTCCCGGAATCATTTTCGTCATTCTTCGCTGCACCGACTCTAGTGAATTGATATCCATTCTATAATAAGGGCACCAGAACTGAACCGCATAATCGAGGTGCGGCGGAGGAGGAGTTACAAGCTATAAAATAAATCCAGATGACTACAAGACCACTACTCGTTTGTGGTGAAGTTATGTGTTCGTGATGTGGTCTCTCTCTCTCACTCACTCTCATGCTTTCTCTCTCTGTCTAATTATCTCTCTTTTTCATTTTTCTCTCTGTTTTTTCTTTCTTTCATTCTCTTTCTCTCTCTCTCTCTCTCTCTCTCTTTCTCTCTCTCTCTCTCTTTCGGGTGGGTGTGTCACTTGCCCCTCTAACACCAGACACGTGATTGGCACACCGCTAAACACGTGTCACTATTTCCTTCAAGTGTACACGCCATGAGAGAGAACTGACACACACCATAACAAACCTCGGCTACGACATTGGCAAGTGACGTTTCAAGGGAAGTGGGGAGAGAGGGTGAAGGGGAAAGGGTGGTCAAGTAGGGGAAGGAGTAGGGAGGGGGTGAGCTTTGATGAGGGGGTGAGAGAAGGAAAGAGGGAGGGAATGATTTGGGGAGGGGGGAGAAGTAGGGGAAGAATGGAGAGAGAAGAGGGATAGGAGGGAAGGAGGAAGAGTGAGTGAGAAAGAGAGGAGGAAGAGAAAGAGGGATAAGTGTGTGTGTGTGTGTGTGTGTGAATAAATATAACTTTCCCTCTGGTTAATTTAAGCTCCACAAGTATCTCAGGTGAAAGGGAAAGATGCAGGGTGTAGCAGACTGTCCTTACCCCGTGTGTGTGTGGGAGAGAGGTCAGGTCAGGTCAGGTCAGGTTCGCATAAAACAGCTGATCATCCAAGTGGGTTATAATCGTGTAAGAGGTGTGGGAGAGTTGCATTAGGTCAGACATGTTTACCTGTGTGTGTGACCCAATATGACCGCCTTACCTCACCTCTGGTTTGACCTCCCAGCCTCACTCCCCCTTCTCTACCCCACCAAGCCTAGCCCACAACCTGACCCCTCTTCCTCGTGTAACACCGAGAGGAAGTGAGTGTAGGAGGCCGCCACAGACGTGTGTGTGTAATAATAATAATAATAAACGGTTTATTAATAGAGTTACAACCGGTGGCTGAAAATATACAGACTTACATTTGATTTAGACATAATGATATAATATGTATGTGTGTATGTGTGTGTGTGTGTGTGTGTGTGTGTGTGTGTGTGTGTGTGTGTGTGTGCGTGTGTGTGAAAACAAACGGCTCATCTGAAGATTAGGTTAGGTTTTCATTATATTGCGTTAACTTCAGTTAGTTTAGGTAAAATTTAGTTAATTTAGGTTAGATTTAACTCTGGTTAATTTAATGTTAGTTTTCATTTAATTCGGTTAAATTAATTCTGAGTTAGGTTAAGTTAAATTAATTTTGTTTTAGCGAATTTAGGTTAAATTAATAAGAAATAATTGAAAACAGGAACCAGATATGTAGCACCACAGCCCACCACAACACAACCCACCACAGCCCACTACAACTCAACATAACCCACCACACCACAATACAACCCAGCACAGCCCACCACAACCCACCACGAAACAACACAACCCACCACAACACAATACAACCCACCATTCCACAACCCAACATAACCCACCACACCACAATACAACCCAGCAAAGCCCACCACACCACAACCCACACAACACAGCCCACCATAACCCAGCACAGCCACCATAACCCAGCACAGCCCACCATAACCCAACATAACCCACCACAGCCCACCATAACCCATCACAGCCTACCACAACCCACACCACCAACTCACCACAGTCCACCATAACCCATCACAGCCCATAACAACCCAACACAGCCCACCATAACCCACCACAGCCCACCATAACCCATCACAGCCCATAAGTGTATCAAGACGTGCGGGTTATCATACACTGGGGGCCGTGTGCCATGCTTGGGTCACCTCCTCTACCTGTACGACCCACTCAACAGGTGTTTACACGGGGCCTTCAGCACGACCCACTCAACAGGTGTTTACACGGGGCCTTCATGTTATGTTCAAATACTACCTTGGGGCGGGGCGGGGCGAGGTGGGGTGTGAGGACAGACTTTACAGGGCGAGTCGGGGGCTTGGGTCAGCCTTCACGTGATCAATTTGACCTATAAGAGTCGTGTATACTGACGTCACCTTTTATCATTCTCCTGACTTGACGTGCACAGAGATTGATGATTCGGGGTAACATTTGTCTAGTGATTCGCAATAATAATTCTGTCTCCTTCGTAAAAATGATCTTTCTTCACTTCTTCTTTGTCTTGAAAAAAAAAAGAAAAACAGATTCGTCACTATTTTCCCTTATACGAGTCTCCATACTCTCTCTCTCTCTCTCTATCTCTCTCCAGCATACACTTATCTTACAGTCAGGTTACAGTAATAAGTCAGGTTACAGTAATATTTTTTCTTACACGTGAGGACCAATTCGTCGCCATAGATGATGTCCACGTTGTTGTGAAATATTTTAGAGAGAGAGAGAGAGAGATTGCCACGCTTTCTTTCTCTCTCTCTCTTCTCCTTTCTCTTTTATCTCTACCTCATGAACACGTATCTCCCCTCCCCTCCCCCCCCTCTCATCAACCAAACCAGTTTACAGCTGTGACTTTCATCCCGTTGGGCGATCACTCCACTTCCCTCCTTCATTACCACATTCCCTCCCTGACTCTCCCTCTTTCTCACCCTCCCTGACTCTCCCTCTTTCTCACCCTCCCTGACACCTTCCCTCCCTGACTCTCCCTCTTTCTCACCCTCCCTGACACCTTCTCTCCCTGACTCTCCCTCTTTCTCACCGACACCTTCCCTCCCTGTACTCCCTCTTTCTCACCCTCCCTGACACCTTTCCCTCCCTGTACTCCCTCACACACCCCGACTGTACTGTACCGACACAGCCCGAGGCATGTTATCATTACACGCCTAAAGTATTATACTGTATTATACCGATTTGTTTGTCTGTAATTCCCGGTGCTGATGTGTGACGTAGTGACGAACCAATGAGAAAACAGTGACGTAGTGACGAACTAATGAGGAAACTGACGTAATGAGTAGTGATGAGCCAATGGGGAAACAGTGACGTAGTGACGAACCAATGAGAAAACAGTGACGTAGTGACGAACCAATGAGAAAACAGTGACATACTGACGAACCAATGAGGAAACTGACGTAATGAGTAGTGATGAGCCAATGGGGAAACAGTGACGTAGTGACGTAGTGACGAACCAATAAGAAAACAGTGACGTACTGACGAACCAATAAGAAAACAGTGACGTAGTGACGAACCAATAAGAAAACAGTGACGTAGTGACGAACCAATGAGAAAACAGTGACATAGTGAGTAGTGACGAACCAATTAGAAAACAGTGACATAGTGAATAGTTACGAACCAATGAGGAAACAGCGACGTAGTGATGAGCCAATCGGAAGAGAGAGTGACACAGCTAAAAACCAATGAGGAGAAAGCAACTATATTTTATACCCTGCACAACCCCCCACCGTCATGATAACAAACACGGTCGCCCACACTCTCACTTTCTAGTCTCGTATTATCTTGTGTGTGTGTAATACTACTGTGGAGGGAGGAGGGATATCTTCAGGTATTCCAATAGATTTTACAATAACAGCGTCAATAGTAGTTCCATTGTTATCCTGCCACGGTAACACATCTTTTTGGGTTATTTCGTTAATAATTTGGTCTAATTTCTGATTTAATTCAATCCATATATAATTTTATCCTTATTTCTATATAATTTTGTATTTATTTATATTTTATCTTTATTTTGTATATAATTTCATCTTTCCTTATATAATTTTGTCTTTATTTCATATATAATTTCCGATGTTTCAGATGTACAGCGGCGGTAGTGTTGGTATTCCTGGCGGGGATCAGTGCTGCCAACCCTCCCGAGGACACCGAGAAAGCCAGTGATACCAACCCTCCCGAGGCTGTTGAAGAAGACACTGATATCAATTCCACAACGTCAGCGGAGAGAGATAGACGTCAGGCTTATCAGCACGGCCAATTATCGACAGTCGGCCATTTCGGGTGTGTGGGTGTCTGTCTATCTGTCAGTTCGTCTGTCCACTGTCAGCGATAGATGGATCTTGATGAACTTTACTGCAGTTAATTCCTATTATAGACAGTTAACTCCTATATGCTACAGTCAGTTAAATCTTAAGAGACAAGTTGGTTCAATAGACAGTTAACTACTTTGGACAGTCAAGAACGTATAATAACCCCCCCCCTCACCTGTCTCCAGCCCATACAGTGGACACCCGCCCACGTCACACCGGAGGCCGTTTTCTGTCTTCGCCTCCCGTCCCGCCGTCATCAGCCAACCTGTCAGCTCCGGCCCCTACGGCACCCATGGTAGCATCAAGCCCTCGGTCATCCATGCTAAGCCCACGGTGAGTATGGGTGGAGAGGTGTGGGTTGAAGGGAGAGTATGGGTTGAGTAGGAAGGAAGGAGGGAGAATGATTATGGATATTTGTTTAATTCTTTCTTCCCGACAGGTTTACAAGACGTCTCGTAAACCGACAGTGATCAACCGGACACATAAACCAGTACAACACAGGCGCGGCCCACCTCGCACCCCCGCTCACACCTTTCCCTTCACTACCCACGCCCCTGGATTCACGCCCGTGCCCGCCCGCCCCTACCACACCCCTGGACCGATACACCCACATTATGGCTATGGTAGGTATAGTGACGTGTGCTGTTTTTTCATCATCATCATCATTATCATCATCATCCACAAACTAACCATCTTTCACTTCCTCACGTTAAATTATTATGCAGCAAAATGTCTTGTGTGTGTGTGTGTTTCAGTACTGCTTCCCTTCCTGTGGACGAGCGGATGTTGATATACAGTCAAGTTCTGTTCCCTTACTGTTGAAACACCTCTTCCCTCTGTATGTCGATGAGTAAATGACAGATTATTTCGATTTCAACTTCATCTAACGTAACCTAACCTAACCACAACCTCCTCGTCCGCTAAGGTGCCCAAAACCTGTAGAACATATACAGTACATCAATTTCACTTTGTTTCCCTCCTCTGTTTTATAAGAACTCTTCACCTTCCTCCTACAGGGCCTCACCATACGTCGAGGTGCCCGGGAGACTATGCCTGCATGCCCCTGGTGACCTGCGCCCCGTGTTTCCCCGAGGTACAGGACCAACCCCAGCTGGCTTGTTCCCTCTACGACGGTGCCCCAGGAGTCTGCTGCCCTGGACAACCCAACAGGAGTAAGTGCTGTGTGTGTATGTGCCCCCGTGTGTGTGTATGTGCCCTGTGTGTGTGTGTGTGTGTGTGTGTGCCCACGTGTGTGTGTGCATGTGCCCCGTGTGTGTGTGTGCCCCCGTGTGTGTGTATGTGTCCCCGTGTGTGTGTGTGTATGTGCCCCCGTGTGTGTGTGTGTGTATGTGCCCCCGTGTGTGTGTGTGAGAGAGACTCCTGCGCGTCCCCCGTCAGCACCTGTAACACGTCTCCTCCTACAGGTAACCTGCGGCAGGTGTTCACGGAGCCAGTGATCGAGATCCCAAGACTGAACATCAACTTCGACATCGTGGACGAGGCGGCGCGGTATGGTGTCTGGCAGCTGGGCGAGAGGGAACTACTGGGGAGGGTAACTAACTACCTAATTACCTAACTAATTAACTATCTGTATAGTGATTAGGATAAGAAATACTGTACAGTGATTATGGTAATGAGTAGCTGTGCCATAACGTCAGACGCGTTCATGGGGGTTGGGTTGGTGTTCGCTCAGTGTTTCATATTGTTTCGGACGCTTAGTCTCTCGATAACAGCTTTCTAGTGTACTGTAGATGGTGATGAGGCCAGCTACTACACCAGACACCTTCCTCCCATAACAGGAGCTGCAGGCAAGGGACATCGAGGTGACCAACACGAACGCACCTGAGTACGGCCATCTACAGTTCTTCAAGACCTCCCCCATGGCCATGAGTCTCGCAAGAGATGCCCTCGTTAGTGACGGGGCCGGGTCTCACCTCCTACACAAGTGAGTCTCATGTTTAGTGATCACACCGGGAGCCTTATTTCCCTCTTAACATAATGAATCGCAGACGAAAATTCTCCACAAAGATTGAACTATTTCTCTAATATTTGTTTCGTCACGTGAACAGGTTAAGGCTGACGCCCCTACAAGCAGGGTACGGTCTGCAGCAGATCAGCATCAGCGACACCGTCATCGCCAACAGCTGCCCCGCGCCACCCAGGTGTGAAGAGAAGGATAGGTTCTACCGCACCATCGACGGCTCCTGCAACAACCTGCAGAATCCCAGGTGGGGTCAGGCCAGGACCACCTTCCAGAGGCTCAGGCCCCCACAGTACAGCGACGGTAAGCTTCCTGCTGACGATCACCATTTCTTCTTGACGATAGTAAGCTTCAAGTACTGTGTCTGACAATACAAAGGAACTCGTTAAGTTGTTCTTGGCGGTGGTGACCTTAGTGCCTGGGTGTTCCTGACCATAGGAGGGGTTGTGAAGTGGGTTCCTCCTGGTGGTGGTGAAGGTTGACACGTAGGAGAGACTTAACCTAATACAGTAAGATAACACACCATCACATGATAGCAGCGATAACACAGTACCTCCTCTTTCCCCTATAGGACTCTCCAGCCCTCGCAAGAGTGTAACAGGACGTGAGCTGCCCTCCGCCAGGTTGGTCTCCGTCAGCACCGTAACGGACGTGAACAACCCCAACCCTGACCTGACCCTCTCCCTCATGCAGTGGGGTCAGTTCATCGACCATGACCTCACCCACACGCCCATCTTCAGGTTCAGTAAGTAGCTATATGCTGTACCTCCAGGATGCCTCCCCTTGTGTTGTGTCGTGAGGTTGTTCTGGTAAGACTGTGTGGTACGTCTGTGTTTGCGGATGAAGCACAACTTGTTATCCCCGATACAGTACACAAGTCACACGCTGTATTGGTCGTCATTTTACTCCGTGTGTTAACAGTCTTAACTATCTTGGTGTTACTCCCAGACTGCCAACTGTTTCATGACCAAATGAGACACCTACAGAGCTGTGTCCTTCAAAATGGTAACTCAACTAAAAGACTTGACTACTGTACATCTTTATGTAGTAAATTATAACACTCACCTCACCTGGGGAGTGGTGGTTAACTGCAGTGGTGGACGGCAGCTTATATATTCAAGTGACTTCACTCCTACACAATAACGCCGAGACACCCCCAGGCCAGTACCTCACCCTGAAGGCAACACAACACACACCTATCAATACCTGAGTAACGCTAGAGAGGTGCTCACCGGACCCTCTACTCCTACACTCACTAGCAAGGAATAGAGAGGAAATAAATTAACTCCCCTTAAAACTCACAATTTTATGCCAGGACTCCCCATTCACACGCCGTATACTGTGGATGCGACACTATAAAAAATCTAATACTTGGGTAACTATTTTAATCTGTGTGACGTAGTATACTAGACACTCATGTGACATTTGGGAATGGGTAACAATAAATAATAAACTAGATATAATTTCCTTCATAATGACTCTATTACTGGAAACGTTTGAAGGAAAATGACAATAAGGTTATCTAAATGACACAACCTGAGCTCATACCAGTGTCTTCACGTACAGCTAACACAAGTGGTATCGAGTGTTGTGCTCCCTACGGCCGCGGGAAGGTGGATCCATCGTTCACGCACCCCGCCTGCCACCCCATCGAGATCCCTGAAAACGATCCCTTCTACGGCAGGGTTGGTCGACGCTGCATGAACTTCGTCAGATCCATGTTTGCCCCCCGCACTGATCCCTGTAATCTGGGTTTCGCCGAGCAGGTCAGTTTTAACCAACACTTTAATGTCTGTTTCATCGCTTAAAACTGTCTTGAAACACCTGTCCTGTCCTCAGTTTTAGTTTTAGTATTTACACTTTACGTCAACACCTGTTTTATTATTTACAGTTCGCTTCAACACCTGCTTCATTATTTACACTTTACGTCAACTTCCTGCTTCAATATTTACACTTTACGTCAACACCTGCTTCAATATTTACACTTTACGTCAACACCTGCTTCAATATTTACACTTTACGTCAACACCTGCTTCAATATTTACACTTTACGTCAACACCTGCTTCAATATTTACACTTTACGTCAACACCTGCTTCAGTATTTACACTATACCATAATTTACCCAGTGACTCGACCCTCCCCACAGATGAACCAGATTACACACTACCTCGACGGCTCCAACATCTACGGGTCCAGCGAGGAGGAGGAGGGGCAACTGAGAGAGTTCCAGGGTGGACTACTGAAGGTGCAGGAGAGGTCACTGCTACCTCCTGATTTCGACGCCGACGAGTGTGAATCTATCCGGGATGGTATACCGTGTTTTAGGGCTGGTAAGTAAGGTTTTTCTTCATTCTTCCGATCTTTAATTTAACCGACTTTCCATATATCCGACTCTTCATTTATCCGACCTTCCGTTTATCCGACTTTTCACATATCCGAACTTCCATTTCTCCTATTTTCTATCTATCCTTCCATCCGTTTCTCAGCAACAACTACCACCACACACACCACAAACATCTTCTCAATCACCACACGTCTTCTCAATCACCACCACACGTCCTTTCAATCACCACCACACGGCCTCTCAATCACCACCACACGTCCTCTCAATCACCACCACACGTCCTCTCAATCACCACCACACGGCCTCTCAATCACCCACCACACACGTCATCTCAATCACCACCACACGTCTTCTCCAATCACCACCACGGCCTCCTCAATCACCACCACACCTTCCTCTCAATCACCACACGACCTCTCAATCACCACCACACGACCTCTCAATCACCACCACCACACGGCCTCTCAATCACCACCACACGGCCTCTCAATTCACTCTCATCTTTCACCTACAGGAGACAACCGCGTCAACGAACAGGTACAGCTGACCGTCATACACACAGCTTGGGTCAGAATGCATAACAGGATAGCCCGAGAACTAGCCAGCCTTAACCCTCACTGGTCAGATGAGACCATTTACCAAGAGACCAGGAGAATTGTGGTGGCTATCTACCAGCATATCATCTACAACGAGTGGCTGCCTCTTATCCTTGGTAAGTGTGGTAGTCTGGGATAGTGGTAGTCTGGGTTGGTGGTAGTGGTAGTCTGGCATAGTGGTAGTGGTAGTTTGGGATAGTTTGGTAGTGGTAGTCTGGGAGAGTGGTAGTGGTAGTCTGGGTTGGTGGTAGTGGTAGTCTGGGTTGGTGGTAGTGGTAGTCTGGGATGGGTTTGGTAGTGGTAGTCTGGGTTGGTGGTAGTGGTAGTCTGGGATGTGGTAGTCATGGTGGTAGTAGTAGTCTGGGATGGTCGTAGTGGTAGCCTGGATGGTGGTAATGGTAGTCTGGGATGTGTCAGTGGTAGTCTGGGATGGTAGGTGGTAGTCTGGGATGGTAGTAGTGGTAGTCTAGGGATGGCGGTAGTGGTAGTCTGGGATGGTGGTAGTGTGTAGTCTAGGATGGTGGTAGTGGTAGTCTGGGATGGTGGTAGTGGTGTCTGGGATGGTATAAGTGGTAGTCTGGGATGGTAGTTAGTGGTAGTCTGGGATGGTCTAGTGGTAGTCTGGGATGGTGGTAGTGGTAGTCTGGGATGGTGGCAGTGGTAGTCTGGGATGGTAGTAGTGGTAGTCTAGGGATGGCGGTAGTGGTAGTCTGGGATGGTGGTAGTGGTAGTCTGGGATGGTAGTGGTAGTCTGGGATGGTGGTAATGGTAGTCTGGGATGGTGGTGAGTGGTAGTCTAGGATGGTAGTAGTGGTGATCGGGATGGTAGTAGTGGTAGTCTGGGATAGTGGTAGTCTAGGATGGTGGTAGTGGTAGTCTGGGATGGTGGTAATGGTAGTCTAGGATGGTAGTAGTGGTAGTCTGGGATAGTGGTAGTCTGGGATGGTGGCAGTGGTCAATTGTGTCCTCCACCCTCCCTACCTACCTCTCACCTTCCCTCCCTACCTCTCAATTGTGACCTCCACCTCCCTCCCTACCTCTCCCCTCCCTACCTCTCAATTGACCTCCACCTCCCTCCCTACCTCTCACCGTGACCTCCTCCTCCCTCCCTACCTCTCACCGTGACCTCCACCTCCCTCCCTACCTCTCACCGTGACCTCCTCCTCCCTCCCTACCTCTCACCGTGACCTCCACCTCCCTCCCTACCTCTCACCGTGACCTCCTCCCTCAGGTAAGGACTTCATGGCAGAGAACGGCCTACTCCCCCGGCGTGAAGGTTTCTCCCGGGACTATGATGATGGTCTCAAAGCTGCTGTCTTCAACGAGTTCGCCACAGTCGCCTTCCGCTTCGGCCACACGCTCGTCCAGGGCATGTTACAGTGAGTGACCGGGGCAGGTTACAGAGAGTGACTGGGGCAGGTTACAGTGGTGACTGGGGCAGGTTACAGAAGGTGACTGGGGCAGGTTACAGTGAGTGACCGGGGCAGGTTACAGTGAGTGACTGGGGCAGGTTACAGTGAGTGACTGGGGCAGGTTACAGAGGTGACTGGGGCAGGTTACAGTGAGTGACCGGGGCATGTTACAGTGAGTGACCAGGGCAGGTTACAGTGAGTGACCGGGGCAGGTTACAGTGAGTGACTGGGGCAGGTTACAGTGAGTGACCGGGGCATGTAAAAGTGAGTGACCGGGGCAGGTTACAGTGAGTGAGTGACGAGTGTTTTCCAGGGTATGAGTGACAACCTGTAATGTTAACTAGTGGCTCTAGTATAAACTTCAATGTCAAGGTTCATCCTCATGCTGACGTCACTGTACAGGCTGGTGGGCAAGAAGGGCAAGTCAGCAGGGACGATAGAGCTGAGAGAGCAGTTCAACAACCCGCGGCTCGTGTACACCCCCGGCAAGCTGGACGAGTTCCTCAGAGGTCTGGCCACACAACCCGTCCAGCAGGTGGATAACTTCGTCTCAGAGGCCCTCACCAACAGGCTGTTCGAGGTGAGTTTGTCTTCTTTTTACTATAATAATAATAATGATAATAATGGTTGTCCCTCGTGTAAGGAGCATGGCCAGCCCAAGGGCCATCTTGGCGTGAATTTGTTTAAGGTGTAGAAGCTGTCGCCAACACAACAACTACACCCTGAGTTAACGAGCTGCATGACCAAGTGTTTAAGGTGTAGAAGCTGTCGCCAACACAACAACTACACCCTGAGTTAACGAGTTGCATGACCCAGTGTTTAAGGTGTAGAAGCTGTCACCAACACAACAACTACACCCTAAGTTAACGAGTTGCGTGACCCAGAGTCAAGGAATAGTCCGAGAAGACCGGACAACTCGCCAACTGCACCGGCTAACCATTACCCCGGAACACGATCCACAAATCGATTAACATCCAGGTTCCCAATTACTGCTGGGTAGACAGAGGCTACACACACACTCCTGTAACTAGCTACATCCCCTCTCCTGTAACCACACTCCGTCCATTGTAATGTCTGTTATAGGTGTTTCGCTCGCCGATATTTCAGTCATGTTTCAGGAGCCATCAGAGGTCTTTCTTCACCGATGTTTCAACAACTTTACCCATGTTTCAGACCCCGCAAATGCCCGTCGGGATGGATCTCGTGGCTCTGAACATCCAGAGAGGACGTGACCACGCCATCGCCCCCTACAACGAGCTGAGGACCACCTGTGGCCTACCCAGAGCGAGGACCTTCGAAGACCTGCTTGATGTTATCCCTCCAGAGGTAATGAGAGAGAGAGAGATGTATTTATCTTGTCCTGTTGCCACTAGACCTTCCCTAACCTAACCTCCCCACCAAGACCCTCCTCACCCTCCCCCACCAAGACCCTCCCTCACCCTCCCCACCAAGACCCTCCTCACCCTCCCTCACCAAGACCCTCCCTCACCAAGACCCTCCCTCACCAAGACCCTCCCTCACCAAGACCCTCCTCACCAAGGCCCTCCCTCACTAAGGCTCCCTCCCTCCTCCCCCAGGTGGTGCAGGTGTTCAGTCAGCTCTACGCCAGTGTGGACGACATCGACCCCTTCATCGCTGGCATCTCCGAGAGACACGCCCCGGGCTCCGTCCTGGGGCCTACCTTCAGGTGAGAGGCCCGGGAGATAGGGGTGGGAGAGGGATAGGAAACGGGTTATATAGATAAGAGAGGTGTGAGTGTGATGGGAGAGACGGGAGGGTGCGGTGGGAGAGGTGAGAGGGATGCAAGAGGAATGGGAAAGGAGAGAGAGGAATGGAAGAAGGGTGAGAGGGATGGAAGAGAAGAGAGAGGTTTGGAGTGGGAGGGTTTGGTAAGAGTGAGAGCAGAAGAAAGGGAAGCTTGTCAACTATAACTGACCAATCACATGTATTCCCGCCATTACTGACCAATCACACGCATTCTCGCCATTACTGTACTGACCAATCACATGTATTCCCGCCATTACTGACCAATCACACGCATTCTCGCCATTACTGTACTGACCAATCACATGTATTCCCACCATTACTGACCAATCACGATTTCCCACCACACAGGTGCATCATCGGCGACCAGTTCACCCGCCTGAAGAGAGGAGACAGGTTCTTCTACGACTTCGCGGACATGCCCACCTCTTTCACTGAAGGTTTGTTGACATATGCTTGTGTCGAGGGATTGTAAATGTAAACAAGATAATACGATACCACTTGTCCCTCCATGAATGTAGTTGCTATTGATGACACGCGAGATTAGCAATATTTGTAAACATTTAATGGAAATATAATAATAGCAATATCTAATAAGTTCCTCACCGTCTCAGCTCAACTTAACGCCATCCGTATGATATCTTGGGCTCGCGTCCTGTGTGAGTCTGGTGACATGATCGGTTATGTCCAGCCCCTCGCCTTCCGTCAACCCCGCGGCCTGTAAGTCATATCTCTATTAAGTACATACAGCAGTCTGTTAGTATTGTAGTGTCTTTATAAGTACAGTAGGTTGTGTTCCTCTAAGTCGACCATTAAGTACGCTATCAGGTAATAAGTAAGGCTTTTATAAGTAGAATAGTCCTGGCCAGGCTGTCGCACCTGAGTCAGTATACTTCCAAGGTGTAGTCTTGAGTATCTACACCAGGTGGTTGTTAGTCAGGTGTGTCCTAACCTAACCTAACCTATAGTGAAGGAAACACAACTGAGAGATGCTTTATTCCTGACGTTTCATCACAAGAGTTTTACAGAGGATTGTTTAATATGTGAGATAATGAGGACTGATCTCTCCCCCACCAGGAACCAGCGGGTACCCTGCAACAGTGCGGCCATCCCCGGCCTGGACCTGAGACCCTGGATCTCTGAAGCCTAGAAATAAAGCCTGTTAGAGGCCTCCTGCCCGACTCTCTCCAGCCTGTACAACGAGTGCTGTCGTGTTGTTCTGTGGCACGTTACTTACTCAGTGTTGTCTCACTCGTCTTCTCTTGTTCACTGGTGACACTGTCCACCGCCACACACCCAAGTTGTGTTATGTTGCTCACAGGCACCAGGAAAGTCTGCCCCTCGCCACATGACTTGTGGCGGTGATCAACAAGTGCCATCAACAGTTGTCTTCTTACCCACACCAGACCGCCTGGCCCGACATACAGTAGTTGACGCCACCAACATAGTCGTCCACTTACAGGAAAAACAACATTAAAAACAAAACTATCAACAACAGAAAACTGACAGTCAGAAAAAATATGTCAACTTGTCCCGTCAGCTGGAGTAAGACAGTGATCAGTACAGTACTAAATAATGTTTCCGTGTAGTACAGATGGTAACACGTCCAGTCGTTAACCCTGTGTGGTATTATTAGTGTCGTCTTAAGGGCTGGTGCATGACGGCGGGGATAAATTAAACCATCACTTATGACTGAGATTAGTTAAGAGTAGCTGTAGAGGTAGATGTATATGTCCGCCCTCCGTGACACACCTGCGTTATCGAGGGAGTCACTTCACTTTATCGTGTTGTCACTTATGCTTGTGTCAATTCAACCTATGATCTGGTCAGCTAGGGCCAATTCAACCTATGATCTGGTCAGCTAGGGCCAATTCAACCTATGATCTGGTCAACTAGGGCCAATTCAACCTATGATCTGGTCAACTAGGGCCAATTCAACCTATGATCTGGTCAACTAGGGCCAATTCAACAGTGTTACGGCGCTTCCAGACAAATTCCTCTCACTTTCACTTCAGTATTTCTTTCCCTAACAAATACCAAACTTCACTGAAACAAAGTCGCCAATTTTGTTGAAGATGAAAATTAGATGCGGTTATTTAAAATCTTCATTAAAAAGATTCCTTACTCATTATCACCGTCCACAGCATCCACTTAATACTTCAACTGTTTAAAGGATCTTCCACCATCACTCACTCACCCTGCATGTCAAGCTATTTTAGAAGTATGATAAATGTAACGTCATTAGAGGAGGCACGCGAGCATCAAAGTCGATAAATTATACCAATGTTTACGTTTCTACCAAGATGTGACGTCAAATAATAAAAATACAGTTCTGCAGACAAGTAGATGCAGCGCTTACACTTACAATCCACTTAACTGCGAACGACAAGACTGATTCACTCGTTCACTCGGTAACAAACAAGTATTTGAACTTGTTTACCTTAAGAAAATATCTATGTAGTTCTCGCCTCTTCTTCCTCATAAATATTGGACAATGTGAGTGGATGATCAATTATTTAAATCGTAACTAAACACAAGACAAAGTATATAACTATCAGAGTCTCCCCTAAATATTTACCACAGACAGACAAGGAACTGATTTTTTTTTCAGGCGACTGGAACTAACCGAACCTAACATAATAAACACTTAACGATTCTAAATTATCTTTTATTGTGAGACTAATTGGTTGGTTAGTGTCGCTTTCTGTCAAAAATAAACAAATATAAAGTAACAATCCCGTCCGCGGTAATTCTCAATATTGGCCATTTTGTCTCATTTCTCAGTTCTTTCCACTATAATTATCAGGTTTCAATAGTTCTTATATTTTGTATATTCTTTTCTCTCTAGCTCAGTCATTAAAGATGTATGTTCATAAATTGTTAAGAGATATATATATATATTTTTAAAAGCCGTATAGTACAGTATATATTCCTCTGTAATAAATGTGTATAATAGTATATATTTATTACGTGTCAAAAGAGTTATGATACAACACCAAGTTTTTTTTTTTTTGGGCTGGAATAAAGAGTTTGATTATGAGGTTGTTGTTTTATTAATCCAGAGAACAACTGGTTTAACTTTCTGTCTGTCTGTCTGCTTCTCTGTCTCTCCTTATTCCTTCATCTCCCGTCCCATCTTCCGTTTTCTCTTCCCCTTCCCATCTCCTCCCACCCTATCTCCCCCACCTTAACCTAACCTAACCCAACATAACCTAACCAAACCTCATAACACCACATGTATATAATTATCTTACCTATTAATGAATCAAAGGTTTACTAATTAGTTACCTTATATACAGCTAATCACCGAGGGAGTATTTCAACAGGTAGATGTTAATTACAACCTGATAATGTAGTACCTGTGTGTGTGTGTGTGTGTGTGTGTGTGCCAGGTACTTCATTCCCAACACACACACACACACACACACACACACAGCTGCCTCACCTCCCTCACCCCTTGCTAAATCACAGTTGGCACTCCTTAATGTGGTCAGTGTTGGCACCCCTGCGTCGCCACCGTTGCCATAACACAGAAATAACAACAAGAGACACACAGAACAACTCGGGATCAATACTGCCATTGACAACGCTGGCTGTGTGATGTACCTTATAAAGTTTGCTCACAGTGACGAAATAAATAAATCACTAAATGCATGAACACGAACAAAAATGAGATCTATATTAATGGTTTTATTTTGTTTATTGCATTTTGTTCATAAGTTTATATCAATTTATATTTAGAAGTTATTTAACCTGTATATTAGTTGTGTCTTACGATGATGTGAGAATATCATGTGATAGTATAGTACAGTAAGGTGGTCTGTTAGCCGCCCTGCCTCTTACTGTGTGTCAATAACATAACACCACCACCACCACAACCAACAATAACAACAACATTAAAAATCACCCAGTTAACGGTGCTTATAAACCCCGATAACAACAACAACAACAACACTCTCACTCAAGCATAACTCCTAAATTAAGCATCGGAAATTAATATAAGAAAACAAGCATCAGTTCTTCTCTGTTTTAAAATGACACACACACAGACACACACACACACACAGACACACACACACACAGACACACACACAGACACACACACACACACACACACACTTTTTAAGCCAAGGATCAAATTCTTTCTCAATAAAAAAAATAAATTCCTGTCAACATTTCTCAACTTTTAAGTGTAGGAACGACTGTCTCACTTAAGTTAGGACAAGAAACTGAAGGAAAACATGGCCTCAGAACTACACTGAGACTCTACCTTAACATTTATCTAACATCACAACCTAACCTAACCTATCTTAACCTTATGATAACTTTAGTAAGAATCTGTACCTCATTTCTGGCTCTTAACTCTTGTAAAATCAACGTAGATAATTAAGGTAAATGTCTCAATATAACTTAAATCATAAACACTGACCTAAATCATACTTGGTGATGCCGAGTTTATGCTTGTTGTGGCCTCCGGGTAAAGTGCGTCACTCATCAGCTGACCTCACCTCCAGGTCACAGGCTGCTGAAGGATGGCACAAAGACATTTATTTGGTAGTGAACTGTACTAAAGATGCTACTATTACTACTACGACTACTACTACTAATAATAACCCGTTATAGTACATCCATCTTTCCTCACACAGCCAAACTGTGGAATGCTCTGCCTTCTTGTGTTTCCACATACTCTAACAATGGCTCACTTCAAAAAGCTGGTTTTCCGGCATCTTCATGGTGTACATAAATATAATTTATTTTCGTCCCCCAGGCCCCGTTGAGGGTCGATGACCTGTACCCGGGTGGACTATTACCCGCAAAAATATATATATAAAATAAATAAATAACACTAAAAATAATACAGTATCTCCTCCATCACAGTTAGTGACACACCTTTCTATTAACTGGCAGTGTCAACACTACCACTCATTAACACCTGTCTCCGTGTGTGTGGTCAAAGAGGAACATTTGAACAGTCGTGTGCACACTGACCAAAACAAGAAGAAATGGCTTACGAACCCCCCCCCAAAAAAATACATATATATATATATATATATATATTGATATTTTGTGTGAAATAATAAGGTTAAAGGAGACAGCGCGAGCGGCACTGTACTCAACACACACACACACACACACACACACACACTGATCCTTATTGTGACTGATGACTCCCTGGCCATAACCATGTGTGAGACTGACTGTACCACGTGGACTGAGAGCCAACTAAGGTAGGTTTAAAATGGAACAAAATAAACTCTCTCTCTCTCTCTCTCTCTCTCCCATCCGAGGCCAACTGAAGAGAGAGAGAGAGAGAGAGAGAGAGAGAGAGAGAGAGTGAACTGTGGTGTTGTGGTGACGGCTGGTGTCTAAGACTGTCACTAGGGCCACACACCACAACACAGGCCAGGGTCCACTGCACTGTACCTCCCTCCTGCCAGTGCCTCCACCATCTCGCTACCTGTGATCTGTTTCCCTCACCTCCCGAGACCTGTGACCTGCCTCCCTCACCTCCCGAGACTCAGACCTGCCTCCTCACCTCCTGAGACCTGCACCTGCTCACCTCCTGAGACCTCAGACCGAGACCTGCCTGAGACCTTCTGCCTCCGATGACCTGAGACCTGATCTGTTTCACCTGAGACCTGTGACCTGCCTCCCTCACCTCCCGAGACCTGTGACCTGTGATTCTTCTCTCTGACCTGAGACCTGTGACCTGCCTCCCTCACCTCCCGAGACCTGTGACCTGTGATTCTTCTCTCTGACCTGAGACTTGTGATCTGTTTCCCTCACCTCCCGAGACCTGTGACCTGTGATTCTTCTCTCTGACCTGAGACCTGTGATCTGTTTCCCTCACCTCCCGAGACCTGTGACCTGTCTTCCCGATCTCCTGTGACCTGTCACCTCTCTTCCTGACCTCCTGGGACCCGTGACCTGTGATTCCTCTCTCTGACCTACTGAGACTTATGACCTGCTTTCCTGACCTCCTGAGAACCTGTATCCCTGTGACCTACCAGGAATTCTACACCAGTGTCAGCTATAAGACCGTCACCATGCAGGGATGAAGACGTCTAGGTGTACAGGACACTCAGTCTCCAGCGTGTGTGTGTGGACGACCGACTGCCTCCCTCACCACCACGTAAAGTACACACAGAGTCTTGTACAACAGAGTTAAATCTATAGGTACCTGCAGTTACCAGCACCGAACACTGTACTTCCTGGTGGTATTCATAAACAGATGAAGTACCAACGCTTACACACTTCTTACTACTACTACTACTACTACTCGACACTAACTGCTTTTTCTACAACATTATAAACGCCAATCAAATTTGTATCACCTTGCTTTAAATATCTTTAGTCTTGGGCAAAGGGACGACGTCAATAATCTGACGACACTGTTTTATACTTGTCAGAAAATACTAGACTGATGCACTTCGATGTCTTCAGTTTGTTTCAATTGGTGTATAAAAATCCCTTGACAGGAATGTAAAGCAAACTGTGGTAAACGGGACCTAAATCTGACTTATCGAACCCAACGTAGCCAGGGAAGACAGTTGGTTGTGTGTGTGTGAGAGAGAGAGAGTGTGGAGAAGTCTAACCTGATCACCGACTGTTTTTGTTGTACACAGGAAACAACTGATTAAAGACAGAAACAGAGGTAATTCAGAAACCTCATCACAATTACAGTTAGGAGTCAAGATTAAATATGGCCACGATGGTACAGTGTTCTCATAACCAACTGACCGAGGTATGACAAATGCTGCCCCACCCCACAAAAGGCCTTATAATACACATACAGTTAAAGCAGGACAGTCGACTCCCCTCATACTGAATTGAATTGAATTGAAACAGTTTATTTAGCCAGAAAAATACAGATACAGAGTGGATAATAACAATATTAACATGGCTGAGCCAGTTGAGAGCTTGAGCTCTCTTTGACGCACCTGATATATACTGTACTATACATTTATCTCAAGGAAGTATTATGTAACATTTAGTATCATCTGGAATAGTACAATAGCATGGTGGTAATAAGAACATAAGAACATAAGAAAATAAGAAGTCTGCAATAGGCCGGTTGGCCTGTGCATGGCAGCTCCTGTCGAGAGTTACTACCACTCTCTATCATCCATGAATCTATCCAGCCTCCTTTTGAAACTTTCCAGTTCCAGCACTTACTACAAAGTTGCTTTGTTCCACTCGTCCACCACCCTATTTGTGAACCAGTTCTTCCTATCTCCCTCCTAAACCTAAACTTATCCAACTTGAATCCGTTGGTCCGAGTCCTATCCTGCTTGGATATTATAAGAACTTTATCTATATCCCCTTTATTGATTCCTTTCACCCACTTAAATACTTCTATCATATCTTCCCCGCACTCTTCGTCTTTCTAGGGAATGCAAGTTAAGTTTCTTTAACCTATCCTGATATGGAAGGTTTCTAAGTCCCGGAATCATTTTCGTCATTCTTCGCTGCACCGACTCTAGTGAATTGATATCCATTCTATAATAGGGCACCAGAACTGAACCGCATAATCGAGGTGCGGCCTGACTAGCGCAAGATATAGTTGCAATAAGACCTCTGCACTCTTGTTACTTACACTTCTAGATATAAAACCCAATACTCTGTTTGCCTTATTTCGAACATTAACGCACTGTTTTCTAGGCCGTAGGTCCGGGCTTACAAGCACCCCTAAGTCTCTCAAGTCGACTTCTCTAGGTTGATGTTGTTAAGGCTGTATACATTATAAGTATTTGTTCTTCCAATATTAAGTACGCTGCACTTGCTGGTGTTGAATTTCATTTGCCATTTTTCAGACCACCCCTGCAGTTTATTTAGATCCTCCTGTAGTGCATTTGCATCCTGCCCTGAATTAATTTGCCGCCCTATTTTGGTGTCATCCGCAAACTTGCTTATGTCAGATAACATTACAAAAACCTCTCAACATGGTGGAAGGTCACTCGTTCAGGTCATACTAACAGCCACGTGACCTCGGAAAGTAGGTCAAGGTCACTCACTTTCAGTCCCATACGAGAAATGAAT